CTGTTGGGAGGCATTTACACAGCTGATGGAGTAATGGTTTGGGGTCAATTGTCTATGGCAGCCGATCACTACTTGTTTTTATTCGAGGCAATATGACCAGCTGCGCGCTATGTTGATGACATCTTACAAACAACTTTACTCCCTTATCTCGACGACCATCGAGACGTCTTTTTCAGAAAGATCCCCATATTGCTCGTCAAACTATGGAATTTCTCCAAAAAGCTGAAGTTAATGTTTTGCTGTGGTCGCCCCGTGCTCCGGATTTGAATCCCATCGAACATGTCTGGAATTTGGTGGGAAGGAGGCCACTTTGTATAATCCTCCACAGATTCTGGCACAGATAATACATGAAGTTCAAGTTGCTTGGAACGAGGTGCCACGGGCAGACATCGATCATCTTATTTTGTCAATGCCTAGACATATACAGTACTGTATTCAGCTACGGGGTCGCCAGACACATTATTCATTTTTTTTATTACTTCTAATTAAAAATTCTTGACAACGTTATCGCTTAGTTCTTGATGTAAATCTACCATATTGCCAACAAATTAGGTTCAAGAAATTATTCCTTCTGGGTGTAACACTTCTAATATCACTGAGTATATTTATAATCACTTATATAAGTACTCTCAATAAAAAGCAGTGAAAAAACACACTTTCTAAAAAAACGAATCCTTCTATGACCAATAAGAGACAAGATAGCATTTTTCTTCTTAATATCATATTTCCCTTGTTTATTAACATTAAGAACTAAAAATTATAAACCAGATTATAAATAAATGTTATAAATAGTCCAACGTATGCAGTGAAAGAGCCAAACTTTATAACCCGTTAAAGTAAAAATACATCGCCACGGAAAAGTGGAGATTTGAACTACCTGCTGCTTTTTAATATTGGCCAAGATTCTGTTTTTTAAAATGGCGTGTTTTTCACCAGCTTTTTATTTAACCTACTCACAATTATGTACTTTAAAAAATATCATAAATAAATATCATATATATTAAAGTTGCTATAAATGTTTCTAATTTAAAAAGTTAGCCCTTTTTCAAATTGGTTTTAATAACAAATTTAATAAAATGCTGAAGGTATTTTTCATACATTTAAAAATAAAGCCTCTTAGTATCGACTCAGATTTACAAAGTACCTCTAGAGTGACTGTTTGAGAAAGTAGAGTTGTTTAAATATTGGCTCTCAAGTATAAACAAATTGAATAACCTACAAACCATTTGGTCAACGTCTTTTTAATTTGGCACAATTAAATAATTGATTAACTACCAAAATTTTGAGTAGGTACGTTAAATGTCATGTTATATATGTGTGAAATTATTTCATCGAAAAACAATAAGATATTTTCAATTTTCCAGTAAATTTTAATTAGTAACGAAATAGCCAGCAAGTGGTGCTAAGAAACGAAATTAATGCATTGAGTTGCCTATCTACCTGTATACACTGTATTATTTATCTATGGTTATTAACATTTATAAGCTACTTCAAAAATAAGGTTTTTTGTAATTATATCTGTCAATTGTTTATGTATTTTAATTTGGAAACTCTCAAGATTAAATTTTTTTTAATGTATAACAAACGTTTTCTAGGCAAACATTAACTAAATATACACTAATAAAATGTCAAATATGGATGAATGGACTGATAGCTAGATTCAGCAACAACAGGTATTATGTCCTGAGTTATGTGGATGACCTGGTCATCATAGTATACAGTCAATTTAAAAGACAGTTAAAGGTAAAATCAACATGCTCTCACTGTAGGAGTGGAGTTCAAATGTAGGGTTTAACATAAGCCTTTAGAAGTGCAAAATCATGAGATGTATCAGAAGGGGAAATTTAAAGGGATTAGGTACTCTTAGCCTAAACGGTACAGATATAAATCCGATAAATGTAGTGAAGTATCTTGTGGTAATATTAAACTCGAGACTTAGTTACGAGTCTAAAAATTTCATTTCTAATAATGTATCGGTTTCATATATAAATCCATTTCAACAAGGTTCTTCTTCCTCTGTTTTTATGTAGACATGACTCTGTCTGTTTTTAATGTGCTTTCAGTAAGTTGTCATTCTATCGTTTTCGTGGTCTTCCTACTGATCGTCTTCCTATAGGGGAACCGTTTCTTGCCGTCTTTACTACTCTATTTGTTGTCATTTGGCATATATGATGGTTTTTTTACTATTATATTTCTTACCCAGTTCCTAAAATTCGCCACCATGCATATACGTCTTATGTATGGACTTTTAGCTCAGTCCTATAGTGTCTTACCATCAATTTTGTTGTCAAGTGTTTTCATCTCTGCTGTTACTAACATCCTTTTTGTTCTCCCTATGTCAGGTCGTGTTTCTGTCGACAGCAACGACAGCGTATGTCATCTTCGTTTCTCCATATCGTTTTATTTAGGCAACCTGCGGCTTTGTGTGCTTTATTCACTCGATCTTTTACTTAAGTTTCGAGCTTTCCGTAGCTAGATAATGTGATACCTAGATATTTAAACTCCATCACTTGTTTTATTATCTTATCTTCCAGCTTCAATTTACATCTTAGTAAATTTGCTGTTATAAGCATGTTTAATGACCAAAAAGGATGCTAAAATATCAGAAGAAAGAGAGATTTGATAACTAATTTTAAACCTCAGATATTACATGAAAATAAAATATATGGGCATACTTATGAGCAATGAAAAATTAAAAGCCACGATAGTCACTGGAACAATATCAATATACTTTTCTTTAGTTTTCCAGAAATCCCTTAGATGTTGCTGTAAGCTTGCTCACAAAGTGTTTAATTTATTTACAGAATTGTAGAGAGTGAAATTAAAAGAAATTCCAAATAGTGATAAAGAACAAGATTTCAAGAACAAATATATGTAGAACAGACGCAAAATGGGTAATTATACAACCTAAAGAAGAATCCATCGATTACGAAAAATCGGTATTTGCGGGCTGTACAGATCTGACATAGCAGAAATAGCACGTACATCATTTATTAAACTTAAAAAGTTTCTTTGTTGTCGGGATATAAGGTTAGAACTACGCCTGAGAATGCTTCGATGTTACGTGTTCTCTACTCTTCTTTATGGTTTGGAAGCTTGGACACTAAAACAAGTTCATCTGAATAAGTTGGCCGCCTTTGAATTTTGGTGTTACAGAAGAATTCTACGAATATCATGGATTCAAAGAATGTCAAACATGGAAGTAACTAGAAGGATAGGAAATGAGGCGGAAATAATATTAACTATTAAAAGACGAAAACTTGAGTACTTGGGACATGTGATGAGAGGGCAAAAATACGCATTATTACAACTTATTATGCAGGGCAAAATCCAAGGAAAGCGAATTATGGAAAGACGAAGAATATCCTGGCTTAGGAACTTAAAGGAATGGTATGAATGCAGTAGTGCAGAACTTTTTAGAGCGGCGGTCAACAGAGTCCGCATAGCCATGATGATTTCCAACCTTCGATAGAAGATGGAACTTAAAGAAGAAGACAGATCTGACATAATCATTCGTCTTAACTCAAATAAAGAATACCATGAATATATTATGAAAAAATAAAGTACTTACCCTTACTTCTTTTTCTCATAGCAGGCACTATAGCACAAATTGAGCATTGGTCTCCTTTATTTTTTGCCTCCACCCTTGCTTGTCTGTGGCTGATTTTCTCCAATACACGGACTACTAAAAGGGCTTGCTCGTCGCTGTTTACTATGTCTTCCCAGTACTTTCATGGCTTTCCTACCGATTTATCTCCCTGCATTTTGGTATTCAGTACTCTTTTTGGTAGCCTGTCCTCGCCTATTCTTATCACATGTCCGGCCTATTGCAATCTTTGTATTCTAATGCAGTCTGACAGTGGTGCTTTATTATGAAGTTAATAAAGCTCGTTTTTGTATTGACTTTTGAATATTCCGTTTTACCTCACAGGTCCTAGTATTCTCCTCAGTACTTTTCTTTTGAATTTATCGAGTTTTCTTGTGGATGTTTCTTTTATAATCCATGCTTCACTACCATAGCATGCTATTGGTCGATTTTATAGATTCTTATTTTTATATTTCGATGGACATTTTTAGCCCAAAATATATGGGAGAGGGCAAAATAAGCTCTTTTTTTCCTACGTTATTCTCTTTCGTATTTCTCCATTTTCTGATCCGTCGGCATATATTTCTACTCCCAGGTATGTAAACTTTCCAATCGTTTCAATGTTATATTTATGTTTAATGTTTTATCGGACTCTATTTCTTCTCGTCTTTATCATTATTTTTGTTTTTTCTGTGTAAATTTCTAGACTTGCGTTTTTAACTTTGCGTATGGTTCCTGTGCTCCTATTGATGTTTTACTCAAGATATTAGTATCATCGATATCAGCGGCCAGTTGAACTGTTCGGTTGGTCAGTAAGTTTTCTCGTCCAGTTTGCCTAACCACATACTCCAGTGCCAGGTTAAACAAAGTTGTAAACAGCTCATCTCCCTGTTTAGTCCCTACGATCATTTGGAAAATGTCTGTACGGTGATTTTTTATTGGTACACATGCCTGAGTTTTATCAGTTGTGGCTTTAATAAGTCCAATTAGCATGTGTGGTATTGCTAATTCATTCAATATATTGTAGAGTTTGTTTCTTTGACTGAGTCGTATGCCTGTTTGAAGTCTACAAACACGTTGTGAACGTCAATGTCATGTTCCCATGATTTACTCAAGATCTTCGTCGGAAGCCCGTCTAATTATACCAATAATATTTTCTGCTAGTGGCTGGAGCCGCTGGTTTATAATAAAGGTGCACATAGTAAAGCAATTTTACAGTAATATTAATAAAAACTAGAATGCAGAAACCACAATAACATATTTAATAAAAATTTTAAAAACTCATAAACGCTGATATTTAAATTAGAAATTTTGCTGTCAGAATCGAAATAAGTCGATCTTTGACGTAATTGGATATTATTTTTTAGTGTAGAATAATTCACAAATAATGTATGCAAATGTCAAAATTGTCACTGCCATTTTTCCTTAGTCAAGTCAAAATTTTCATCCCAATAATCACTCATGTTTTTGTATAAAAAATGAACCAAGGGTTGCAATATAATGCCTTCTTCAGTAGCAAGTCTTCATCAATCCGCCAGATCAGCCACAGTGCAAGTTACGACTGACCCACAAAAAGAAAAAAAATTAAGTGTCTTAGAATCACATGGTTACTTTCTAGGTAAAACTATAGGTACTGGATCTTATGCAACAGTCAGACTAGCAGAATCTGAAAGACATGACGGACTAGTGGCTATTAAAATCGTGAGCAAGTTTTCTGCACCTGCTGATTATCTTAAAAAGTTTCTGCCGAGGTAAATATATTAAATTAGCAAATGTTACATTGATTTAATTGTTTTCTCTATATTTCTAGTAAATAGCATCATTTCTAGTTTTATAATCTTGGTGATTTTAAGATATTTAAATAATGAAGCGATATTAATGTGCTTATCTATTTCCATATGTCAATCAAGACTTAAGTATTTTTCAGGGAAATTGAAGTTGTAAAAGGTTTGAGACATCCAAATTTGATAAGGTTTCTACAAGCAATCGAAACGACACACAGAGTCTATATTGTTATGGAATATGCTGAAAACGGGAGTCTTTTAGATATCATAAGAAAAGATGGTCATATAGATGAAACTAGAGCGCGGAAGTGGTTCAGACAGCTAGTAGATGCGGTTGAGTATTGTCACGATAGAGGAGTGGTTCACAGGTATCTATTTTCAAGTAGTAAAAAAAATTAAGTTTAAAATACATCACCTCCAGTTTACTACTTCTCGCAAAAGCTTTGGAGCTGAGCTGCCTTGTTTTCCTTATTGGAGTAAAGTTAGATATTATGGAATACCATTTTACTTTTATCAAAATATTTCAAAAAGTATTAAAATAAATATAAATAAAAAATGGTAAAGGCGTGGTCAAAAGGTTATATTATACCGAATTATTGCAACAAACCTAAAAAATGCATATACAAAAATATATTTTGTGTTATTAAAAAAAAATACGGATGTATTTCAATATGGAATAGGGCAAGGTTTCCTAATTTGGACTTCTTTTCAAATATCTATGGTATTATCCTCCTCCTCGTTCCTAATCCCTTTTAGGATGTGGTGGCACCATCAGGTGTTTACAGTTTTTTCACGATTTCCCTCCATTTTTTTTTTGTCCTGGGCTAATTGTTCGGCTTCATGTAACCTTTGTTTAATTAATATTTTTGTTTGATCTACTCAACGGATCGGAGATCTTCCCCTAGGTCTCTTTCCTTCAACTTCACCCTCGACTGTCAGTTTTTTCATAGTACCTGTTCTTCTAGCAATGTGTCCAAAATACTGTAAAAATCTCTGTTTTATTTGTTTAAGCAATCTATCCTTTACTTTAAGTTGTTCTAATATCAATACGTTAGTGCAGGGCTTCCCAAACTTATTCGTACTGTGACGCCCCTTGTGACTGTGCTATTTTTTGCGACGCCCCCTCAACCCAACCCCCTATAATACTTACCAATTTTAGTAATAGCCTAGTTACAGGTTATAGTTATAACAAAAACACCATTTGAACATTATATTTTTTATTAGAAATTAAGAACGAAATCAAAACATAGACGCAAAAATGAAAACGGATATTTATATATGTAACAGGCTGGTTAATGTGAGTGATGTGCTTACTTTTTTAAGCACAGCTGATGAAACCAGTGGTCCAGTTTGAAAGTTGCTACTCTCATTTCTTTTTTATAAGTTTATGTTTGACCTGTACTTGTAATTACTGCAACTGAGGAAAAGTCCATTTCGCACAAGTACAAAGTTGCAAATGGTAATAAAACCTTTAATGCAGCAGTGCTGATGGCATGATATTCATGAGAAAGTGAACTCCAAAATTCAAACAGTTTGTCCTTGTCGTACTGAAGCTTTAAGCCGGAATCACAGGACAATTCTGTCAGTTGTTTTTGTTCCTCTGTTGAAAGTGTCGATGGCGTATTTGACAGGAGAGGGTTTCTGACCCAGTCATATTGCTCCATATCTTCGGGAAAATATTTCTCAAAGTGTTCGCTGAGTGATAAATGTGTTGTGTAAACATATTTTTTAAAGGGATCAAGGATTTCTATAGATTTTTCTTGTAGAATACCTTGAAACGCAGGGAAACAGTCAATTTCTTGATTTCCTTCTTTTTGTACCCAGTAATTTTATTTGCCAATTGCATGATATGAGTATTGTTTCCCTGCAAAAACTTATTAAGATCATTTAATTTGTTAAATATGTCACAGAGGTATGCTAATTTTATTATAAACTCTGAATTAATAAAGTTTTACGCATCATGTGATTCTGTATGTAGATACGTGTAAAGTTCATTTCTTAATTGATAGACACGTGTGAGTACTTAACCTTTAGACAGCCAACGAGAGTTGCAATGATAAATTAAAGAGGTGTGCTCACCCCCCCTTCATTTCTTTACAAAGTTTATGAAAAAGTATTGATTTTACGGGTCGTATTTTAATATAGTTCACCAATTTTATAATCCTATCCATCACAATACTTAATTCAGGTATAACATACTTTGCTGCTAAATCATCTATATGTATGATACAATGTGTCCATTTTACACTTGGAGCCTTGGTTTTGATGAGAGCTGGTAGTCCTCATACTGTTCAGACATCGCTTGGGCACCATCCGTACACACGCCTACACAGTTATCCCAGTTAATATTATTTTCAGTCATATATGAATTTAAAATTTCGAATAAATCAGTAGCTTTATAACTTTCACATATTTTTCTGAAAAATAACCAATCCTCACATATATTTGTTTCTTGTATGTACCGTCCATAACATATCAATTAATCATCACCATTACTATCAGTCGCCTCGTCCAGTTGAATGGCAAATAAACAATAAAATTGAAAGTTTCCCCACAATTTGCTCATTAATATATTCTGCCATATTGTGAATACGACGACTAACCGTATTGTTTGAAAGAGGTACTTTGTTTATTTCTTTAACTGTCGATTCTCCAATCATCACTGTTACCATATCAACTGCTGCAGATGAGATCAGTTCCTCAGCGATCATATGTGATTTTTTACATTTGGCAGCGCGGTAAGCTACCAAGTAAGAAGCGAGCAATGCTTTGGTAGGAATTGATGCTCTTGAAACCAAAGTCGTGGTCTTAGGTTTTAGCTCTCGCAATTTTCTTACAAAAAAGTCACTTGGCTTACCTTGTAAATGACTGTAAAGTGATTCCCAATGCCGTTTTAGTATATTAGGAAGCATACTTTCAGTCGCTAACACTTTGTGACAAACAACACATTATAGAAGTTCTACATTCCCTTTAGGGAATGTAGAACTTCTGCAGAATACAGAATAAAATATAGAATGTAGAATGCAGGTAAATCTAAAATCTAAATATTGGTCCTCATATTTCCTGTATTTCTCCTTTTCACTTAAATTAACATTAGTACTCTCGCCTGATTCTTCATTTCGTTCTCTATTCTTTTGAATATAAGTATTCATTGTTGATAGCAAAAAACTCCGCGTGCGTAATAAAACAAAACAAATGCTTGACTAAATGACACAACACGCGCGACAGTAGGGGAAGGGGAGCCAACCGCAGAAACAGAATGCGCCCGGCGCTCACTCAACTCCAGTGTTGCCAATGTCTGGATAATTATTCAATTTTCGGATAATTTCGTGGAATAATTTTCGAATTGAACAATTTTTTGAATAATTTCGGCTAATTCAAGGATCTATCGACTTACTGTTATATTTTTTATTTGATTTATTTATTAATACATATATTTTATATTCATTTAAAATCAAATAAATATATTTTCTGTATTAAAAGTCTGCGCTGACACGCGACGCTCCTGAGACAACGCAGCGACGCCCCAGGGCGTCGCGACGCACAGTTTGGGAAACCCTGTGTTAGTGCGATGATCAATCCAGGATATTCTCAAAGGCGGTATACCCACATTTCAAAAGCGTCCAGTTTATTTTTTTCCGCTTTCTTTAACGTCCACGTTTCGGATGCATATGTAGCTATGAGAAAAATGAGCGGCCTTACCAGCCTTAGTTTTGTCTGTATTGTTATGCAAGAATTTTTCCAAATTGCTACCAGTTTCATCATAGCTGTTCTAGCAATAGTCAACCATCTACGTATCTCTCTGTCACACCCTCCGTCATTTGTGATTAGGGACCCCAGGTATATGAAACTATTTACTACTTCAAAGCCCCCAATTTCTTTAATGTGTAAAGATTATTCCGAGCTCTGTCTACTATCATGATCTTTGTCTTACTCCTATTTAGTTTTAGTCCATATGTTTTGCTTTTTTTCTCCAGGCATCTCATTATGTCTTCCATTTATTCTTGATTTGCCGCGATTATTAAAGTGTCATCAGCATATCTCAAGTTATTGATTTTTTGATCTCCTACTGATATTCCTCCCTTCCATCCATCTAGTACCTTTCGCTTAATGTGTTCGCTGTCGATATTAAACAAAGTTGGTAAGATTATGCATCCATGCCTAACACCTGCCTCTGTTCTGAAATGATCGGAATGGGTGTTGTTAGTTTTTGCTATGTAGTTATTATTTTCATATAAACTTCTAATTAGTTAAATTAAGTGGTGGGGTGTTCCCATTTCCGCTAATAGTGGTCATAGCTGCTGCCCTTTGACTTTATCGAAGGCCTTTGTGTAATCCACAAGGCACACAATCATCGGAATATTGAATTCACGAGTTTTTTCGATTAGCTGTCTGACATTAAAAATGTGTTCTCTTGTGCCTTTTTCTGGGACAAATTCCGCTTGTTCTTCTGATATCTGAGGCAATAGAAAAGATTTTAGTCTTTCATGTATTACATGAAGAAGAACCTTACTTGCATGGGATATTAGGGTAATCGTTCTGTAGTTGCGGCAATCTAGCGGAATTCCTTTCTTTAACAATTCCCGTTCTTTAACAATTCGCTGGCATTCTTGCGAGGGAATATAAGCAAAGGTGGCACATAATTCCCACTTGCGTTCATATAGGAATTTGTAAAGCATATTTTTTAGCAGACTTTTGACAGTAGGAGTATCAAAGTACAGTATGGGTTAAACCAGTTTTGAATAGAAAACGAATGGCAAAATCGTCGATTGAACTAGATCTTGGAAAAAGGAGATACCGCACGATCAAACAAAGTATGCACCTACCTGGATAGTGTCCAATAATATAAACGCACTTGGAAAACAAGTCGACAGCATTCTCAAAAGCAATAAGATTACGTACCTTAATATCAACGCACTAAATGACATTATAATGGAAGTTGTAGAGAAAAGCCAGAAGGTACTCTGTCCAAAGAACTCATATACCAATATAATAGGTCCCAAAATACAAGAATTTACAGAAGAGAGGAGAAAAATGCAAAGTAATAAAAGTAAATAATACCATGCATTTAGACAGATAAATACAAGAATACAAAAATCTATTAAGACAGACAAACGAAAACAATAAAGATGAAAATATCATCACCAACAGAGATGAATTGCTAAGGGCAGAAGAAGATTTCTATACAGAATTATACAGAAATTAACAAAACTATGATGAGCAAAAGTTATAAAATTTAGAGATTGGTCAACCAAATACGTATTGCACTTAAGAAAATGGAGATAAATAAAGCTCCACAAGAAGATAATATTATTATAAAAGCCGAAAAGATTAAAGAAGACAAACTTTTACAGAATATGTATAAAGCAATCGTTCAACTTATGTTTGTCCAAAATGAAACACCTACAACATGGCACAGTGCACTATTTATTTTAATACACAAAAAGGCGTTCCAACAGACCTCGAGAAGTACCGCCGATAAGCTTGTTAGACCATTTGTACAAGCTATTCATAATAATAATAACAAATATTAACCATTGGTGCTGGCTTTCGTATACTTTTGCAAAACATTGAATGCGATAGAAATTAACAGTGTAATGAGAGCGTTGAAGGAAAGTCGCATAGATTACCGGTATTCCAAACTGATAGCAAATTATATAATAATGCAACCATGACCGTACAACTACACAAAAATACAAAATGTATGAAAAACAAAAAAAGAATTAGACAAGAAGTCATGTTATCAACCAAACTCTTTACGATAGTTCTGGAACATGCGTTCAAAAAATTGAAGTGAGAAGACAAAGAAATCAATGTCAATGTCAATGTCAATGCTTACTGAGTTCAATGCCGCCTGTAATGAAGTTTGTTTGAACATAAATTCTGGAAAGACACAAATCTAGTACTAAGCAAAAATACAAAAGTCGACTGCAAGGAAATAGGATTAGTTTATAAATATAAATGTTTATTTATATTTATAAAACTAATGAACTAAATAAACAACAAAGAATAATCACTTTAGCATGGGCCGCATATGGAGCAATGGCTTTAAGAGCAATACGGCAAAATATGTGAAAAAGGAGACGGTTGACCAATATGTACTTCCAGTCATAACTTGTGGCGCCGACACACTTACCAAACCTGACCCAAAGAAGAATGGAACGCTTGCTACTTGGACTGACTCTCAGAGACAAGGTTACAAACGAAGAAATAGGAGAGATAGGCCCCACAAATGTCCTAGAGCGCATATTATACCTGAAATGGAACTGGATGGGCCATGTGGCCAGAGCGAATGACGGGCGGTGGGCCTAAAAATATACAGTGTGGAGACAATGAGCAGATAAAAGAAGCAGAGGTAGACCACCTACACGATGGATATACATCATCATAAGAATCGCTGAGAATTGGCTGAAAGAAGATCAAGACCGACAGAACTGGAAGGAATTAGGGGAGGCCTATGTCCAACATTAGACTCAGAAGACTATATAATCATGATCATTTTTATTTTAATCCAATGTCGTAAAATAACTAATATTAGAAAAGAAATATGTAGAAGTAATTTGGAGAAAAATTGGGGGATAGTTTTATCAACAAAATTTAATACAGAAATAATTTTTGACTGGATAGCGCTAATCGAAAGGGAACGAACCACCAAAATATGATTTTGAGTAATTAAGGTTACAAAAATAAAAAATGTTTTTCCTTGTAACTTTCAAGTTATTCAAAATATTTTAAGGTATGATACCGCGTTCGAAAGCAAATATTAGCCACTATTAAATTATTTTTCCATAAGTTACCTTTTTTTGTTTGTTGACAGTGTTTTGGTGGTTGGATCTTTTTGAATTATTTCAGAAAATCTACTTTTTGCTGTAAATGGAACCATGAGACTCATGGTTCTATTTAGAGATGAAAAAAATATGGAATGGTTCTTTCTTGAAATTTTACTTAACTATTCATTATTAGAAAAAAATACTTTTTAATCAAGAAACCCTTAAACTATAGAAAAATGGAAATAAGAAGTACGATATTTGCGGTAAAAATTTATATTTACTTTTAAGGCAATACAAATCTCGAAAATTTCAACCAAACATTAAACTTTATAAAACTAAAACTCACAGTATATGAATGTTTTTACCTAGTTAATCTTTAAAAAGATACATTTTTGGTTATTTGCCTATTCTTTAAGTAATAATAGAGAATATTATAACTCATTAAATCAAAAAATTTTAACAAACCAAAAAACTCTTAACTTCTAAAACTAATAATACTCAATTGTAGGAACTTAACAGTTTTCCTAATCTCTCTTTCACAAAAAAATATCTGCGTTAATTTTCTTATTCTTAGGGCGAGTAATAAAAAAATCTCAAAAAACTCATAAAATCAAAAATTCTAAACAAACAACAAACACTTAACTTTTAAGACTAATATTCAAGTATACGAACGTAAGTTTTGCTAAAATATGTCTTTCATTAAATTTCTTCTGCGTCCAAATCAAAGTCAGGCAAGGAACCAAATCCTTCAATATCATCCTCAAAATCCTTTACGTTTTTAATTTTATAGAATAGAAGAGCATCTTTTGGAAGAAACTGGAATAAAGACTTAATGCCATTCCACTTCTCTTTTGAAATAATCAAAAGACTGATATGTTTTTTGTACACACTTATGACAAGTCAAAAAAGTATTTTTGAAGTGTGTATATTTTTTAATAATTCCTAGCTGAGCGCTTTCGGCTTTACAAAGCCATCATCGGAGCTATGGTCTATAAATACCACTACAATGGAGAGATCTCATTTCCTTATTTGTTGAAATTTCTGTCTACCTCATAGCAAACAATGGTCGGGTTCTTACACCCAGACTATGACAAAAAATTTTTTAAGGTGTCTATGAAGTCCAGTGTCGGTTTTTTGTATGTTTTTTAAGAATTTTTAACAACTAAGTAATTAAAAAATCAAAATTTCAACAAATAAGGAAATGAGATCTCTCCATTGTAGTGGTATTTATAAATTGATCATAGCTCCGATGATGGCTTTGTAAAGCCGAAAGCGCTCAGCTAGGAATTATTAAAAAATATACACACTTCAAAAATACTTTTTTGCCTTTTCTTTTGACTCTTTTGAAATAGCTTTACCATTCGGATAAAGTACTTTTAAATTTCCTGGATTAAGGGATAATGGGTTTTGACGTCGGACGGTTTTTGAAATATCTATTTCTTTAAACATTGATTCAGTAGATGAATGAGATTCACATAAAAAGATTGAAAAAGGTTTCGACTTTTCTAATTTTATTATTTTTGTTTTTAACTAACTTATTTTTTTTTTTTGAATAGATAATTTTCGGTTTATAAAAGTCTTCAGTAAAGTAAAAATCTTGGCTCTCCATTATTTTTATTACAAATTTGTTAGTTTTTTTTACAACTTTCGATTACGCTCACAAAATCTTCCATGGTGTAAAGTCGAACCTGATTTTTAATTTCACATTCTATTTGTCCGAAATCTGTATCATTCTGCAAAAAGCTGTGTCCTGATTCAAGGTATTTGCACTCAAACTAGGATATTATATTTCTTGTTTTGTAAAATCTGGTTCCTATTAATAAAAAAGAAATGGTAAAAATATAAATAACTCATTTAAAACACTAAACACTGATTTTTTACAAAAACAATCATCCACCAAGCAGGTGATTTTTTACAATTATTGCAATAATATAAAAAGAACCAACCGCCTTGCATGTCGTTTGGTTCCATTTATTGCAAAAATATAACAGGAACCAACAACCGAGAAATATTTTTTACCATGTTATAAGTAATAAAAATAATACAAAAACTATTTTCTATCGGTGTAAAATAAACCTATAATAGTTAATTTAAAAGTAAATGTAAAACTAATCAACAATTTGTTTTAAAACCAACAAATAACTTAACCAAAAAAAACTTACCAAGTTGTTTCTGCTGGTTTTAAGTCGTTTCGTTTCCAAGGGAGTTGCATCCGTAGACTCTGGCTCTAATAGAGCTCTTTTCATTTTTCACTTATTATTTTCACTTTAAACCTTTAAGCTAAAGAAAATTGCTACCGATCGCTACAGAATCACATAAAGTTTAAAAAGATCCAAACGACACCAATAATTTTTCTACAAAGTACCACCGCTTGGTTCTTTTTATATTAAAGAAAACTGCCCGATTTTGCGATTGTCGCTTGGACCTTTTTTCTACAGATGTCGCCAGAAACTCCGGAGCCGTACGGATTTTTTTTGCACATATAAAGTGAATATCTGGCTATTTATTGGTGCTATTAACTCATTTTTTGTAAAATGTCGCTTGGTTCCTTTTCGATTAGCGCTATCCAGATATAAACAAAAACTGGACAGTATATATAATCATATGGGAATAAAAGCAACAAGCAGAAAAAAATGATATTATATAAAATTCAGAAATGGAAACTAAACTGACATGGGTGCATCAACACAATGAATATAGCAGGAGAATAGCATAGCAGGTTATAGATTCGAAGAGATATGCTAAAAAAGAATAATGAAAAATGCTAGCACATACCATACGTATAAGAACATACAAAAATTTTTAAACGACAAAATAAACTAAAAGATATAGTAGAAGATAAATAAAAAATAATTGTGCCTTCGACACCACTAAAAGTTATAAGGAGTTTGAAAAAAGATAAGTAGTTCTTCTTTAGCTTTATTCGCCAAACTATTATTTAAAATCTAGTTTCAGAAGAAATATAATTATAAAAAAATATTAGTTAGAACAATTATTCAGAAAGGTTTTTTGACACTCATTTCTTTTTCTTGTACCTGTAAACTGAAATTATAAATCTGTAAAGTTTCTCTATTTCTTTTGGTTTTTGAAGATATTTTACTTTTTTATTCTAAAATGCCACAAGAAAATAACAATAACAAAAAGTGTTTTGCTTATAATTATCAATATTTAACATAATTTAACAATCGAATATCATACATTATTTAATACTACAGATATTTTAAGGGATATTAAATGTGAGAACATGCTGATGAACGCAGAATGGAACCTAAAAATGTCAGATTTTGGTTTTGCGAGGGGAAATCTTAAAGATAAAAGCGGCCAGAATATCTTGAGCGAAACGTTTTGTGGAAGCTATGCTTACGCCTCTCCTGAGATCCTCAAAGGTATTCCGTACCAACCGCAACACGCTGATGTTTGGTCAATGGGTGTGGTACTCTTTGCTATGGTTTTTGGACGGTTACCCTTTGATGACAGTAACTACAAAGAATTAATAAAACAGGTATATGTTTTAACTGTATTTTATTTACAAATCATGTTACATATATGTATTTTACTTTAAAAATTGGGGAGTTAAAAAGTTTTTATCATTTATATTATTTATCTGGTAATCATTTTTTGTATGCTTGGTTTATATAATGCGGTGACAACTAATGTTTTTCCATGGCCAATCTCTGAAAAACTGGCATTAAGTTTTATTTTATTGTGTTTTTTGCCTCTATGCCTTTTTGCTTATTCGAAATCATCTAAAATACCTATCTAACTAGCAGATAAAAAATGGGAAGCCAAAATGCAACAACCATTAACACGTTATAACATTATTATTGATATAACATTAAATAAAGACTATAGACCATGACATTGCGTCAGAGCAGCTTAGAATAAAATACTATTAATGGGAGATTTTACATATATTTGGGCAGTTGGTTTCAGTTTCCTACTTGAATCGGTCATTTTAAAAACCACTTATATCCACATTTTATCAAAAATAACTTTTCAACTTTATCATGTAGTTTGTACCAGCATCTATAATTTCGTGAACAAATCACACTAATCCCATCTTTAGTTAGTGATATAAGCATACCAAAAATACTATTTGAAAACCACATATATCCGGAATAGATGTTGTTTCTTAAATGACCCGTTAGGAAGCGCGCTCATCGTAATGTTGACATTACTATTTAAAAGCAACAATAATTCTGTGAAAATGGATACCGACGTACGTGAATAAAAAAAAAGACGTGAAAAGGGTGTAAGAAATGTTACCTTCAAGTGTAAAATAGTTAAGAAAGCTCGGGTGCAAGGTATAGAATATCTTATATACTAAAAGGCTAAGCCCTTTTCTTGTGCGCAATACTCCTCCTAAACGGTAATAGATGGAGAATATTTTTTTCGAATAATTAAACAGATTGTTAAGTAGATTCCCCCTAAGGTTTCAAATTTAAAAAATTCGAATTGGTTTAAAAATGGCGGCCATAACACGAATTTTTTCTATGGTAAAGTATAGGAATTTTACAGGTTTCATTCTTCAAAATTTACAGTCCTAATTTTTAATGTATTTTTAAAATATGACCGCGTCTACTTTTTTTTATCCTTACTGATTGAATTCTGAATTATGAAACCGGAAGTATTTACTTCCCTACTTCCGGATTTAGTTTTAAAAGTTATGGTTTCTTTCACGGTGTTCCAGAGCATATGGAAGGGGCCGCGAGTTCTCAAAACGAGTTTTTTTTTCTTAAACTTAGCATTTTACAATCTTTATGCAAAAAAAAAGTTACTTCCGGTTTTACTTCCGTTTTTTATTTAAGGGGGCGGAGTCTAACAATCATATTGTTTCCATTTCCTAATCTTCCTGAAAATCTTAAAAAACTACTGTATCGATTTTCAATTTAAAAAAATTGGCGTCGATACAGTTTATTTTTAGGGTTTTTGGAACATTTACACCAGGCGACGGAAACGATGGATCGTTAGACTCCGCCCCTCTTAAATATCAGCAAAACTTACATCAAAACTCGATGTCGAGTTGGTCCGCTAATTATAAAGAAAATAGGGTTTGCAAAATTGAACAAGGCAAAAGTTACAAGTAAGTATTTCTTATTTCATAACCTCAAACATTCGATTATAAAATGTTACTTTTACTTGCAGGAAGAAGTGTATTGCTCAACTCTCAAATGAAATAAAGTTAGAAGTGTATGCAACATTTAGAGGATTTATCACAAGAGGTGAACAAGATAAATATTTACAAAATCTTATTACACCTAAAACTGTTGTTCAGAGGCGTCCAGTACAGGGAGAAAATATGAACAGAAAATCTCACTGCTCCTCATATACATATTCAATATTGTTTTCTTCTGGCAGAAAATATGTGTGTAAAAAAGCTTTTGTGAAATTACACAGGATAACAGACAACAGAGTACGTTGTATTTGTAACTTATTAGTTATTGGTAAATCGCCAAAAGATTTACGTAGCAAAAGAACGCCAGCTATTGCCCAGCCTGTTTCTACTATTATAAAAATTCGAGAACGCATTGAGTCTTTTTCCAGAAAAAAAGGGCATACGTCCTTACTTAAATATAAAGTTAAGTTAAATATAAATTTTATTTGAGTAGAGTTATAATTTTTCATTTGAGAGGCTACAAGTGGATACAATCTGTAAATGTGAAGAGTTAGACTTAAAACTTCAATCAAAAACCCTCAATGATACTGCAAAACGTGTAGCTATAGCAGAAAAAATGGTCCATTTGCATAGAGCAAAAAAATTTTATAATAAAATGAAAGAAATCACAGAACTATGTCAAAATATTCATTCTCTTGGAGGTATTTGTGTAGATTATATGCAAAATCTGATGCTCCTGTGCATTTCAGTACAGACAACTTTTTACCTGCAACAATTAACTACCAACGTATTTAATATACATGATATGAAAACTGGAAAATCATTCTTGTACCTATGTCATGAAGGGGTAGGAAGGAAATATCCTAATGCGGTTTGTTCTTTTATTGTTGATTTCATTATAAAACAGAAAATTCTATCTGCAGCGGTAAAACATCTTCATATTTATATGGATGGATGTTCGGGTCAAAACAAAAACCACACTACAGTAAAAATGTGTTCTGCTTTTGTTCAATTTGGTATATTTCACACCATGGATCAATACTTTCCTGTTCGTGGACGTTCATATATGCCATATGACCACGATTTTGCTGTTATTAAGCAAAAATTTAAGAAATTTGACCGAATAGGTAAAGAAATAATAAATATGACTTACTCACAATCAATTTAATTTAACTATCAGACGACCGGTTTCGCTTTCTACAATATGCAAAGCATCCTCAGGTCTCGATACAAAGTTAAACAAATGATGCCGGTACTCTACTTTGTTTAACTTTGTATCGAGACCTGAGGATGCTTTGCATATTGTAGAAAGCGAAACCGGTCATCTCATAGTTAAATTAAATTGATTGTGAGTAAGTCTTATTTATTATTTCTTTACCTATTTAAAATGGACTCACACAAGCAACACATTCAAAATTTGACCGAATTTATACACCATTTCAGTATGTAGAACTAGTATTGTCATAGAGTCAGAAAAATAATTTTAACGTATTTTTGATTGAAAATAACAGCCTCATAAAGGATTTTAAACGATTAGATTAGATTAAGAGAGGTGGCCTTTCAGCCTATTCCACTGCGACCTTTTCAGATCTATTGTGGCCCTCTAGTCCTAGACAACATTCTCTAGCCTGACCCTCTTTATAAAGTCTAGTAGCTTCGAGACTGTACCTTCCATGTAGCTGTTTGCCGGTGGATTTTCTTCTCCTAATGCAAAAAACCGCACATTTGCCAGACTGTCACACTGACATAAAATGTGCTCTGCCGTTTCTTCTTCGAGGTGACAGAATCTGCACAGGTCATCATCTGATAATCCCATTAGCTTCAAGTGCCTATTCAGCTTACAGTGCCCTGTTAGAAGACCTACTATGGCTTTGACTGTTTTCCTATCTTTGCTAATTAGGTCTGCCGTAAATTTTGGCGAATGTTCTCTAATGAACTGTTTCGCCTGTCTTTGTCCTGGTGAATTCCTCCACCATTCCAGAGATTTGTGAGCTACCCACTTCTTTGTAGCCGTTCTTGTTACTGACTTTGCAACGCCGCAGAAGGGTTTCGGTCCAATGAATGGCATTGATGAGCCTTGTTTGGCCATTTCATCTGCTTTTTCATTGCCCTTATGACCCTCGTGCTCCGGTACCCAGGCTACCGTAACCTTGCTACGGTCTCCTAGTTTATTTAGGGCACACACGCAATCCCATACTAGCTTAGAATTGACCTCTACAGAATTAAGTGCCTTAAGCGCTGCCGGACTATCTGTGAAGATGGCAACTGAACAAAACGTTCTTTCCTGCCTTTCTATTTCTTCCACACAGTGATGGATTGCAGTTATTTCCACCTGAAAAACTGTCACATCCTTAGATAGACTTACCGGGAAATGACTTACATTCTCAGCACCTTCAACTGTTGTCACGTTTTTTTATTAAAATTTCTTATTCGCGAGTCGCGAGTAATAGATATCAATCAATTATTTTATATGTAGAAGCACTGAAAACTATTTATAAATGGCAACGGTATTTACATTTCTCTGTCTTATGGCTCTACATCATACTTCAAATGCTGTACTGTTCCATGTTTGTTTACTTTTTACAGTAGATGAGGAAAAGTTATTTTTCGATGTTTTGGCTGTATTTTGAATGATATTTGTGAAAAGTGAAATAAAAATATTATAATAATGGTGCTACAGTGTTGTATTTGCACAAAAACGAAATATTTACATCCCGATTTCTCATTTCATTTGTAAGTACTGTCTATTTACATTATTTAAGATGAAGAACTGAGGAAGCGTTTTTGTTTATATTTTAAAACATGTCTTTCATAGGTGTACCATTGGGTTTATTCATGTTCATTAATGTATTAAATAAGATATGAGTTCATGAAATTAGTAGACATCATCTGATTAAAAAATATAGGTTTAGTACCTTTTTAATTTAATATTTCTAGTGGATACAAATAAATTAGTGAAATGTATAAAACTCATTTATTTTTCTATGTAGGTTTCCAAATAATTTTGACGATCTAACTATTTGGGTAGCAAATTTAAGAGAAAACATAAAGATTTTTTATTGTAGCATTATTTTATACTATTAACTATAAAATTACCTATTAAAAAATTAACTTGAATTCAAATATATTTTATTATATTAATTTTAAAGCAAATAAAATTGCATTTTAATTGTTCTATAAAGACGTGATTCGTTAATAATTAAACTCTCGTTTTTTTAATTCTTTGAACGTGTTTTTATACATTATTACTACTTCCAATTTTTAAAGTCTGAATAATTATAACCACGAGTAAAAATTCAAGCACGCTTCTGCTCATTGAGGAAGCATCACCTTCTATCCAAGCTTCAAAACATTGTTTGTTAAAGGTATCTTATTGGTGTGTCAATCTGTGTTTATACTTCCATAATTATGAAGTTGACCTTGCGAAAATGTAGTTTTATTTTGGAAAATTTTCTAAAAATAGCAGTGATTGGTAAAACCATATATATCTCTTGACTTTATTGGTGATTTATGAGAAAAGTATTATGTCAAAATCTGCAACATATGATAGACAGCATTGCATATTCGCTGTGAGTTTCGCCGGTAGCGCTCTCTCGCGGTTTGAAACTTGTACTTTTCTTGTAAAATCAGTGTAAATGAAATATGACAAAACGAGAAAAATAGATATTTATTTAAAAAACAAAATAATGAACTGAAATATTATGGTAAACTGATTAATAAACTAATACACAGAATTAATAGTAAAAGTAATTACGCCTTGTTATTTTATTCATTATAATTATAATATTTAAGATATAAGTTCTTGCGACTGGATGACTACTTACGCAAGAGGTCATTGAGAAAAAGAAGAAGTTTATATGAAAATATTTAATGGTTAAAGCAAATATTTAAGGTTATAGACGCTTAAAACGTCTATGTTCTGGTTACCTTTACCTCTGTAACGTTGTAATTCTTGTTTTTATTTTACATTTTTATTCTGTTTTTGCTCAGTTATTTTTTGTGTGCGTAGGCCTTAGTGCTTAGATATCAATTTGTTTTAATTTTTCTTCTTCTTCTTTCGTTTTATGGCCTCCACCTCTTAAATTTGTTTTAATTTTATCAAAATGGATATTAAACATTATACTGGTTTTAAGTCTATATCACATGATATCCCATTTCAACCAGCTACACCAAAAAAGGGAAAAGGTTTAGTTGATGCAGGGCATGTACGCAATGTTTCGGAATATAATAGCTTTTTAATTTTACACCATACAAATATCATGTTTGCATTATAGGTTATTTACTTATTTTTCTCGTTGATAGCAATAATCCATTTTTCTCTTTGAACTATTTTATGCTTGGCAACAGGAAATGAATAAAATTTACAATGACTGTTGTACCCAGTATTTTTACATGTATCATATATTTTTCTTTTTGAAAAATCCATATTCGCCATTATTTGAATGTTTACAAGTTAAATGCACAAAACTGCCACTAACAGCGTTGGTGAAAACTGTCAAATCCCCTCTACTCATCGGCTCACAGCGAATATTATGTACATTAGTACCAAGCCACAATAATTGGTCTATCAAACAATATATTGCGTTAAAACAGTTTTTCTCGTTTTTCTCAAAAGCACTACTACTGGATATATGTGGTTATTAAAATGACCGATTCACTTGTATTCCTCAGGAATTCATAAATTTAAAACTCTTTATTTTAACAATAACATACTGTCATCTGAACAACACTTTCAAATTGGGCAAACTTATTTTGTACAGCATGGTTCTATTCGAAATACGTATCGAGGAGTATGTCTATTTTATGCTCGAGATAATCGTCCATGAAAGAAAATAATTCGTTTAACGATGGAATATTTTCACGCTTAATTTACTCTAAATTATACCATACCTATATCTACAGAGTCCTCGTACAGTACGAACAGAAGAAGTTATTCCTGCATAAAGGAAAATCCAAATGAGTCCATCGCACCATCGTACACAATAATTTGAGCTGCGTCCCAAATATTTTGGGAACAGATCTTGGTTTGCATAATTATAATATCCTATTCGAGAAATTCCTTTAATTTCTCAAATTTCCAATCAAAAATAATAATACCGAAGACGCCGATTTTTACTACAACCGAATTTTGTTTAGCGATCAAACTGACTTATGGTTGAGTACTTAAAAAAAATTACCATACTTGTAGAAAAGATTACCTTTAAGTATATATTAAGAAACCATAATGGGTAGAATTGACTGTTGGCTGTGCTTTATGGGATGAAATCTTTGGTCCTTACTTGCTTAAAAAAGTATGTTCACCAGAACGTTGAAATCAATGGTGGCTCAAAAATTTTTCGTCTCCGAATTGAGTAACCTTGATTGGAAATAGCTGTGCGCTTTATAGAATGGTACATGTCACAATGTACTACCTGTATCACAATGTATTTGTTAATACAAATGTTTGGAGAGTACATAATTTAAACTAACGGACTTGTGAGTTGTGAGACCTCTAGATTGGACTAAATCCGAGCCCGCCGCAGCAGCTATATGTCAGCGATCACATTTAAATAAAAATGACTTAAGATCATCTTTTAAATAGTTGAATAGTGGAAGTTACTTTTATGTCAATATAAAACATTTATTCGTACTAATGGACATAGTTGTCGAGATACTTTATGTAGATAAATAAATATTAAAATATAAAAAAAATATTCGCATGTTATCCAATTTTCAAGATCTACACTTCTAAATAAACACCCATTATAGGTTAGCACATGTTTCCTTAATGTAACTCCAACTATAGGGAGAAATAATTCTATACTACTGAATGAGAGAATATAAATAAGTCTAAATACTTGGTGATAAAAAGAAAGTTAAATAAAAATGTTATAAGAGAAATGTTAAGATACCCAATATTGTTTTATTTAAAAATTATTAGTTTTAAAGTTAACAAATGACGATGTCGGGGTTTCTGCAAATCACTGTATATCAAAAGTGACTGCTCCACTTTAAATATATTACTCTATCTTGAAATGTTTAAGGTATCAAATAAAGTCAGTTTTCCTAAGGAGCCCAAGATTTCAAGTAGTTGTAGATCATTAATCAACAAGATTTTAGCCCCCCTCAAATCAAGAATTCGAATAAGTGGAATAAGGATTGATCCCTGGTTTGCATTTGCTCAATCAGGTAAGGTCAAAAATAAAAAAAAATATATATTTTAATTAAACATTTCGGTGCCTTAAACTAGATTTGTTAATCATATGACTAATTATTAAGGGCATCACAAAATAATATAGTTTGGGTTAAAATATTAATTACGTTCTGAAAATAATTTTTGTTATCCGTTAATAATACTGTGTCCTCTGGGTTTCTATTTATATTTTAAATTATGCTACACTTGAAATTTTGGCGATGAGTTTCTGTGGTTTTCCGAGTTTGATTTCGCGTTGAATAATTTTGGTTTTGAGAAAACCCATTATTTTGACGACGTTTTGGCAAGGCCGCACTTGCCATTCCCAAGTCAAGTAGTAACGTTTCTTGCTGGTACTTGAAGTAGTCTGGCACTACAAGCAAGCAAGCAATTTAGGTAAACCCAGCCTGTGAGACATGTTCACCCCTGGGAATTACGTTAGGGTGTAACAATTCATTGGAGCGAGGTGTATAAACTTGAGTAAAGCAGGAGTAACTCCACCCGCTGCAATGCTCTAGACCATCTCTTTCCCCTATGCGGCACTAGCACTCTGATGTGAGATAGGGGCACAACTATCAGCCAAATGCTCTTCATGTGGGAGTCCTGGATAATAGAACTCCAATATGGTTTCCTAACCGATTCAAATTCAGGACAGCGTGACACGCTTTGTTCCCGTAATCCTCTAGTGAATTGTCTGCGAATCTAAAATTGCTTGCTTGTACCTTAAGTCACTGCTCTGGACTACGTCCGGTTCGGAGAATTTATTATTTTTTGGTTGGCTTTCCAACGACCAGTTTTTTAATTTAATTTTTTTGGTTGGCTTAGGCCAGGGGCCGCCAAGGAATTTTATGTGTGATCCGGATACTAAAAGAAAATTTGAACAAGGTCCAGAAAAAAAAAATGATAACATTTAATGATAATATGTTTATTATTTTGGTACATTCATAATGATAAAACAAAAGACCTTAAATTAATGCGAAAAATTGCACCGACGGTGTTAAGCTAGTTGTTAATGGTCTCGTTCTCGAGTTAAACAACATATCTGAAGTGTATCTTCCAAGTGAGCGTCCATTAATCGGGAGCGATATTTTTTTTTTCAGAAAATTCATTTCTAAGAAAGTCGTGTATTCTAGTGTACTCTATTATGGAGCTGAATCATGGACAAACCGGAATACAATAAATCAACTATACGCGTTTGAAATGTGGACATTTAGAAGATTGTTAAGGATTCCATGGATAGATAGAGTCACAAATGCAGAAGTGTTAAGGATAATAGGCAGAGAGAAGGAAATGTAAAATACAATAAAAGAAAGGAAATTGCAATATCTCGGACATGTAATGAGAGGCGAAAGATTCAACATCTTGAGACTTATAATTCAAGGAAAAATAGAGGGTAGGAGAAGCGTAGGAAGAAGACGTATTTCCTGGTTGAAAAACCTGAGAGTGGTTTGGTTGCAGCTCAAAGCAACTGTTCAGAGCAGCTGCCTCGAAGGTCAGAATAACCATGATAATTGCCAACCTCCGTCGCGGAGATGACACTTAAAGAAGAAGAGAAAGTCGTTTCGCACATATACGTTGAGCCAAACATAGTAGCCAAATTGATTGCAAGTTGTCTACAATTTTCATATATTGCTGGCATATGTTTAGCCCAAAATTCTTAGGCGGATACCGATTTATAAACGTGCAAAGACAAATCTTTATGTAATTCAATATTCTTCATTTAAAGTAATACTTTTGACAGATTAAACAGTTTAACAACCACATATGTTCATCAACTTTAAATTGTTAAATCAAATTCGTTCCAAGGTCTCCCAGAAATTTTAAGAACACTACAATGTATTCTTCGGAATACTCACAAGGAGAGGAGATCACAAGTTCTTAAATTGGTCAGAAACGTTCAATAACTTGGCATTTACTTAAAAAACGAGCATTATTTTATTGTAGTAAGTCAGAATACGCTGAATGGCATTCAGAAAGAAACTCCTTGAAATGTTGGTGCTGGAGAGCAGAATGAGATCTCATAAAATTAATTAAATTCACTTAATTCTCCATACCTTCTTTAAGTCTAGCACTGAGTTTTCCACAAATGGCTACCTGGTGTATTATGCACGGATATGTTATTAAATTTGAATTTTATTCCTGATCCTCTGTACTATACCTGTTTCTTTGCCATTCATTGCTGAGGCTCCATCAATAAAAAGCGAAATCATTTTATTATAACTGATGTTAGATTTAGAAAATTAATTTATTAATAAACTTAAAAAAATCTTCTCCTCAAGTGTTATTTGTGTTATTTTTTAGCGGCAATATTGGTAGCAGCTCTTCCCTAAAAATCTGAGACTCAATTACAAAAAATCTTACGAAAACAGACATTTGTTCATCACCAACAATCTTACATGATTCGTCAAGTCCTATGGCGTCCTTTCAAAAGTCCTCTTTCAAAATATTAAAATATAATTCAAAATATTTGTCAAGACTTTTCTTTTTTTAAAATATTAAGAAGAGAGTTCCGTAGCTAAAATTTCCGTTCTTCGTGTATTACTTCGCTCTGACAATGAGATGCTTTGAATTTATTACTGAGGCAACATCTTTTTTTTCCTCAAAAAGTGAGTTAGCCACTGCTAGCATTCATTCCTTTACTATCTCAGAATCAGAAAATGGTTTTTGGTGTTTATTTAGTATCCAGCACATACCTATAGTGCGTGTAGGCACTCTTGACCACGGCGCAGTAGACGAAATTTGGTTTAGTCTCCACTACCGTGCGAAACGCATTGTAGTATACACTGTATAATTCCACTTACAATAGAACCTTTCTGCCTTTACGTGAATATGACTCCGTCTTCGCGCAGCTCCATGGTCTAGAGTGCTTAAACTATCTAATGCAGCTAACTAGAATTGTTGTGCCTTTTTCGTAAGAATTAAGATATACCCGAAGTTTTTCTTTACGCACTTGACTGCCAAGAGGAAAGTTTTTGTGGAACTGCTGATAAGTTGTTTCGTAGTATCGCTTCAAATTTCCGTCTGATTGCATATAAGGCACACCAGAAATGCTTGCAGCCTATAAAGCAGTGTAAAACAATATTGTGCAGTCCATTTTGCCAGAAACTTACTATTTTCACTATCCACTTTTCTCCTTTTCGGATCCATATTAACGTAGGTACAAAAAGATATTTTATAAAATAACGAAAACGCGAGTAATCACTAAACAAATTAACGGTAATGCGCTACGTGCATGTCACTGACTAACTATTGAACGACTGTATTTCTCCAAAATGTGTTTTAAAAGTTGTCAGATTTTGAACAGAATTCCACAGATTTATATACAGTATTGGAAGATTTAAAACGGAACATACGGATTATTAATACAATTAGTAAGATCCCCTGACCTGCAATTACCCAGAGTAAATTTTAATATAACGTCGCGATGTCTTATAATTAATTCATTTGTTCGACTGGACTCTTTCTCCAGTCGATATTTTTCGACTGCTGTGCACGTGCGCACCTTAACAAACACAAACGATCATCGAATAATAAAATCTTGCATCTCGCCAAGCCGCTAGTATAAAACGGAATACAGGAGAGGCTATATCTCAAAGCGCCAAAAATCTACAATATTACGTAGATATGGAATTAAAATATTATTTTATTAAAAAAATTGTTATATTTTATTGCCATAATGGCATAAAAAAAGTAGATTTCTAAAAATTAAAATAAAGTAGATTTCTAAAAATTTAAATAAAAACATTTCAAAAGTAACATAATAATATTAAAAACAAAAATTCAACGTAATAGAGGTTCAAATATTTCACCTCTCTCTGCGGAGCAATAACCAAATCTAATGTACAAAGATAGTCTCATATCCCTGAGCAGTTCCGGTCTAATACTTCCACAAAGATGAATTATTTTGTCCCTCAATTCTTCTGAATTTCGGGCTCTTTTAAAACCATGTCGATAAACACTTGTTTTTAAATATCCCCAAAGAAAAAAATCATTTGGGGATAAGTCTGGTGATCTGGGAGGCCACTTGATCGTACCACGAGAAGAAATTAATTTATTTCCAAAAATGGTTTCTAAATAATTTTGAACTGCTCGTGTATTGTGAGCAGGACAGCCGTCTTGCTGAAACCAAATATCGTCAAAGTTGACAGGAAGTAATTGAACTGCTGGAATAATTTGATTTTGCAACAATTCTAAATATTTATTTCCCATTAAATTACTATCAATAAAAAATGGACCGACGATATAATCCCCCAAAATACCTGTCCAAACATTAAGTTTTTGGGGATACTGTGTTCGTACTGGAATACTCAAGTGTTTATTATGCCGAGACCAATATCGTACGATAGAAGGATTATGTTTCCGATGTAACAAACATGTCGATTCATCGGTAAACAAAATGTTTTTTAAAAAATGTTCACTTTCATTTTGTTTATTCATCATCAGTTCACAAAATTCCATATACTTGAAATTGTCCACGGCTAATAACTCTTGAGTTGTTGGAACCTTAAAACAACGATAACCATTCCGTTTCAAAATATTCCTGACAGTCCTATCATTCATGTCAACTTCTTCAGCAATAGTTTTGCTTGAACAAGGATCACTAGTTTCAGCAACACTACAGACATCAATTTCCCTATTTTGCCTAACTTCGTTGATTATTTTCTCTCGTGGTAGATCCGTACATTTTTGACAGTTTTGTACACAACCAAACGATTCAAATTTTTTAATAATACGACTAACAGTTAATTGTGTCAGTATTGGCCTATCTTCATAGGCACAAGTAAATAAATTTATAATATCACGGTACGAGTTGCCCCCAAAATACCATTTTAAAATTTGTACTTTTTCTTTGTTTACACGGTTTATGGTTAGAAACACTACTTTTATTTCAGCTTATGGCGTTATAATGATGAGAAGCAAAGCAAAGGGCATGTATTTGTTTTGCTCGGCCAGTGATGTTCCTTGGGACTGTTGCCAAATCGGTAGATACTTTCGG